GTTTCCATCATCTTTTGTCATTTTACTTTTTCTTTTTTGGTACTGGGGATTGAACCCAGGGACTCATGCAGTTAAGCATGCATACTATTGACCTACATTCTCAACCCCTGTCTTTTATTTTGCTCTTTAAATTATTTATTTTGGTTGTTTCTCATATAAGGGAAATGTGAATGAATTGCTTTAGGCTGGGGCTTGGGAGCAAACATTTTTAAAAAGAGCCCCAAAATGATTCTGATTTAAAGTTAGGCTTGAGAATTCCCCACTAGTGTGGGGTCATCCAGAGGACACATTTATCCACTGCTGCTCATCTCAGCATTTACTATACTTCCTGATACATGGTATCTGAGAAATATTTGCGGAGTGAACAAAATAGAATACAAGCAAAGAGATCTTTTCTAAACTGGGATCTTTCATCTTGCTGCCTGCCCTTCTGTTTGTCCACCCACCTGAATGCACATGTACATGTGTTTATTTAACTAGGTCTCATAGCAGTTAATATAGATCTACCAAGTCATCCCAGGCCCTGTTCCATGGAGACTGGCTGTTTCCAAGAGCCTGGGGAGTGGGCTGCTCCCGTGGCTGTGTTTCTTTCTGAGATCATGTGAGATTGGACCTCCAGAATGGTTCTGATATGCCAGGTTTGAGTCACTCAAATTCTTTACATGAACATGGTTCACACACAAAAAAATATTTGCCTGGACTTGCTATACTCGTAGGGTATCTCTACCTCTGGAATATTGATACTTAATTTTCTTAGAGATGAACATGTGAGTGTTCCTTCACTAAGAAGATTCCTCACCAGAAAAACTTGTTTCCTGGAGAAACACTCCAAGAAGATTTATGAGACCAAATTAGTTAAAGCAGTTGACTACCTTATCTACAAGGGCATCTTTATTTAGAAAAGCATTTCTGTCAGAATTCTTGTAAATGTACCATAAGAAAATGTCTAAGTGTCTGTAAAGGACCAAGAAATTTAAAAAGTAGACATTAAAAGAAGTCTTCTCCATTCTTTTTCTTGTCTTCTCAATGAAAACCTAATAAATTTAAAAAACGTCAAGGAGGGTAGAAATCACAACCTTTTAAAAGCTCAGAAGACTAATCTTTCTTGGGAAATTTATCTTTGTTCATAATTTTTATATGGATTAAATGTTGAAATAAGATTTTGAATAGGTTTAAATTAAATCAAATGTATTGCCAAGGTTAATTTCACCTGCTTCTTTCAACTTTTTGAATGTGGCTATTAGAAAATATCCAATTACGTAGTTTGTATTTGTGGTCCACCTTTTATTTCTTTTGAACAGTATTGTAAGTTGTCAAAAAGACCCTTGATCTTAAAATATCAAGAGCTATGAACATAGACACGGAAGCTTCCTTAAAATTGACCAAAATCTTTGATTCAGACAAAACAAAGAGGATACCAATGGGCCAGAGGGATAAAAGGAATAGAACAACTTAGAATTGAGTGGAAGAGAACAGAGGATGGGGGAGATTGCACGGGTTGCCTACACAGAAAGGGAAGCTTTGTTTATTTTTTTTGGTACCGGGGATCAAACTCAGGTCCTTGAGCTTGCGCAGCAGGTGGTGAAACTACTGAGCTAAATTCCCAGCCCCAGAAAGGGAAGCTTTGGAGAGAGCAGTTCCAGAGACACTGGTCCAACCAAGAATGAGAGGAAGGCTTCACACATAGAAAGATAATGAAGTACATCCACCTTGAGAAGTACGCCTGCCTGCCTCTGCCTTGGTCTGAAGTTTTGAGCACCTCATTCTTCACCCAAATCCTCATATACTTGATTTTGGCTGATTTTTAGGCAGTGGCACAAAATCTGGACTGAACTTCAATTGAGATGGCAGTCATTGTTCAAAATCAACCTGTCAGGGACTCCAGTTACAGTATTTGAGGCATTCAATACACAAATTCTCTTGGTTTTTAGTCAGGCTTCTGAGATGCAAACTTTGTTTCATAGAACAAACAATATAGAAGGAGTTTTATGGAGAGGGAGTGATACATCCAGAGGCATCACACTCCACATATATTCTCAGGGAGATTAAAATAATTTTAATGCAAAATGTTTGGAAGGGATAAAATTTCTGTCATATACCCTACTCACAGTGCTTTTGACTTCCAAATCCTGGCATCAGCTGCTGAAGTGATCTCCTCTGAGGGAGCAGAAAGATGCTCTTGGGAGTGGGGAGAACAGCTATGAATGGCGCTTGGAGTCTCACTTCCACCAGACACGGTAAGCTTACTTTCCTCGCTGTGTATGGGACTGCATCTAGTGATTCCTTACATCAAAACAGAAAACAAAGATGAGAAAGATTTGACAGACAGAAATTCCTACAATCCTAATATGTTCCCAATACTGAAGTCACTGTGGAATTTAAAAAGTACAATTTCCCAACCTTGGGTTTTTTCCAGGAAACATTTTAGTAGCAGGAAACATTTTAGGGACATATTATAATTGTACATATTTATAGAGTACAGTGTGATAATTTGCTACATGTATACAATATATTAACATTTTCATCTCCTAAAAAATTTAAAGCCTCTTGTTTTCAAAGCAGACACAAACTTAATGTCATACTGATAAAAATTTTATTCAGTTATTTATATCTTTAATTCTGTCAAGTAGATGCTTAGGAAAAATGAAGATTTTAAAACTTCTGGCTTTTCTGAAGATTTTTAGTATTTAAAAGAAGAATGGTTTAATGTGAGGGTTTCTCTTCGAATCCTTTTAGTTTCTGGGCTTACTCATCTGTGGTAAATCCAAAGAAGATTCCCTTAAAAGAGCCAAGATCGCAAAATAGAGAACAAAGTTCCTAGGATTTTATTTTATTTTTGTCGTCCCTCTAAACTAAACAAACAAGATAAAGAAGAACCACACATGTAAAGCATTCTTCAGGGTTGGTGTGGGTTGGGAGTTCATGCTAGGCAAGCACTCTGCTGCTGAGCTTCATCCCCAGCCTTTTTCTAAAGGTTTTCTGTAAGGATTATTTTTAATGATATCACAGATATTACATATTGATTTAGACCAATTGTCGAGCCACTTGTAGTAACTTCTGAAAGGCATTTTAAGAAGCTGGAACTACTCATTTGCTTCACCTCATCTTTGCACCAAAGACAGAACTGGAGAAGTTAATGAGTTAACTGGGACAATAACTCAAGACATTAGTCTACAAGACTGACATTCTTAGTCTCGCTACAAACTCATTCCTGGGTCACCAGGATAGACAGAAATATAGATGTGTGGGTTCTGGGAGGACTGCAGCAAGGATTATACAGAAATACTAGAGAGAACCAGAAGAACTGATGTGCTTTCTTCCCACCTGCCAGAGGAAGATTTATAAAGAGATTTGGGAGGGATGCTGGAGAGACTTCCTGAAGAGATTTTGGAGCATCAGCCATTACTTTCACATTCTCAGTCACTTTAGAAAGGGATGCACTTGCCTTGGCTCCTCATGAAAAGGATTCTCAGACAATACTCTGAAGCACAGGGGTACGAGTGAACATGGGGACTGGCATCAGCTTCTTTGTAGTGTGCTAAGCGGCAGGTAGAACCTATTCACATGTCTAGGGCTGCCTAGGACCAGTCAAAGGCTACCAGAGTGCTTTGGACACAGGCAGGGAGCATCAGAAAAGGGCAAAGCTAGTCAGGAGAAGACACAAATTATGCCCAGTTTCTCATGGAGCCAAGGTGATTGCAGCAGGGAATCTGAATAGGGCCCCAGAAATCTCATAATTTGAATGGATGGATGGAGGATAATTTACTAAGCTAACCTCCATTCCCTGGACACACAAGAAGCAAAGGGACCAGATACAAGCCTTAGTCACAGGGTCCCTATCCTGGACACCAGTCTTTACAGGGGCATGCATTTGTCAATAAATATAGCCTACTACAGAACAGGTGATATTGCTACCACTTTACATCTGAGAGCAAGGCTGAGAGTGCACAGAATATTCAACAACCTGTAACATCTCCTCTCCTGTGGACATTAGGACCCAGGGAAAGATTTTCACTTGCTTTTTCCTCTAAACAAAAGGCATTAATGTGTCCAAAGCTCAGAGGGTCTTCTGGCTGTGCTGCTTTGTCATGGAGAGAGAGTTTCAGCTGGAAAATCCTTGGAATCACTTAGGGGAAAAGGACTAAGAAGTTTGTAAAGGCTACCTCTCAAATAGCTTGAATACAGAAGATTCTTTCATAATGAAATACCAGTTTTCCCATACTCCAACCTACTCACTTTCTTCTTTCTCTTCTTCTTCTGGTTTGTGTATCTGTAGATGTTCATCAATCTGCCCACTATTTTCAACAGCTAAAATGACAGCTATTCATCTGATCCTTATGTATATGTAGGCCTAGTTTTAACATGCTTGGAGCATTAGTCTTGTCTTTTTCATTGGAAATTTGATAGACATTAAATACAAGTATATCAAAAGATTTTATTTTTATAAAAATAGGTCTTTTAATTTTAATAAACAATTTTGAATACTTTAAATGAATCTCATTTTTAAATGTAGGAAAAATAACTGTATTTTTATACATTTACATTTACTGTATTTTGAATTTTCCTCAAAATGCATTTGTTTTATATTACTTTTATTTTTTAATCCATTTGACCATTCTGACACAAGAATATAACTGATTTGTTAAAAAATAGATTATATCTGCATAATTAAGGACTTTGAAATGATCCAACATTTAGATTTTAAGATGCAAATATATATTTTTAAAATAATTATTAATCACCCAAACATTGGCATCCCTTCAAGAGAATGCCCAGGGTCATAAAATATAAGCTAAACTCAATTATTTCTGATAGTTTGTTAAGACTTGGTTTTATATATTTTTTCTAATTTATTCTTATGCAGGTATTCTTGTCAAGTTAGGAGGAAATGACACATTTCACGGTAGCAATTTGTGGGCTGGATTTAAAACTCTGAAATATAGGCGGGGCCGCGCACGTCCGCGTGCGGCTGCGTCACAAAGCCGGGGCGCACCCCGCCCTCCCCGCGGCAGCGGGAGCGGCCTGGTGACAGCGGCGGAAGTGGCCGGCTGGCTGTAAGAACGTAGGGTGGCGTGAACCGGAACCGCAGCCGCGGCCGACGCGGGCGTGACGCGAGGAGGCCTGAACGAGCCGCGTGTGCCGAGCCGCGGGCGCCCACGGGGCCGTGAGAAAGGAGAGGTTGCGGCCTGTCCCCAAGCTACCGCCGGCATGAGCCACTTCCGGATCCCGCCAGGGCTCACGGAGCTGCTTCAGGGCTACACTGTGGAGGTGCTGCGACGGCAGCCGCCCGACCTCGTGGAGTTTGCAGTGGACTACTTCACCCGCCTGCGCGATGTTCGCACCCCGGCCGCCGCCGCCCCCTCAGGTGACTCCGAGCCCGAGCCTGACGCGGCCCCTGACGCCCAAGAGAGCAGCGACTCGGAGGTCGAGGAGGACCTGGAAGTTCCGGTTCCCAGCAGATTTAACAGACGCGTATCAGTCTGTGCAGAGGCTTTTAACCCTGATGAGGAAGAAGAAGATACTGACCCTCGGGTGATTCATCCTAAAACTGATGAACAGAGATGCAGACTTCAGGAAGCTTGCAAAGATATTCTTCTTTTCAAAAATCTTGATCAGGAACAGCTTTCTCAAGTCCTGGATGCCATGTTTGAAAGGACAGTCAAAGTGGATGAGCATGTGATTGATCAAGGAGATGATGGAGACAACTTTTATGTCGTAGAAAGGGGAACGTATGACATTTTAGTAACAAAAAATAATCAAACGCGTTCTGTTGGTCAGTATGACAACCGTGGTAGTTTTGGAGAACTAGCTCTGATGTACAATACTCCGAGGGCTGCTACCATTGTCGCCACCTCTGAAGGCTCCCTGTGGGGATTGGACCGGGTGACTTTCAGAAGAATCATAGTGAAAAACAATGCAAAAAAGAGGAAGATGTTCGAATTATTTATTGAGTCTGTGCCACTTCTTAAATCGTTAGAGGTGTCAGAACGAATGAAGATCGTGGATGTGATAGGAGAAAAGAACTATAAGGATGGAGAGTGTATAATCACTCAGGGTGATAAGGCTGGCAGCTTTTACATTATGGAGTCTGGTGAAGTGCGCATCATGATTAGGAGCAAGACTAAAATAAACAAGGATGCTGGAAGCCAGGAGGTTGAGATTGCCCGCTGCCACAAGGGGCAGTACTTTGGAGAGCTTGCACTGGTCACCAACAAACCTAGAGCTGCTTCAGTATATGCAGTTGGAAATGTCACCTGCTTAGTTATGGATGTTCAAGCATTTGAGAGACTTCTGGGGCCCTGCATGGACATTATGAAGAGGAACATCTCACACTATGAAGAACAGCTCGTAAAGCTGTTTGGGTCCAGCTTGGATCTGACTGACCCTGGACAATAGATATGCCGCATCCCAGAGCCGTCTCAGTGACCAGAGCCTTCTGGTCAGCCACAGAACACATACAGAAAATAGACACGACAGAACTGTTCCTGCTGTTGCCACCACTGCTTTGATTGCTGTGGTTTGGGGCATTTAGAAAATTTGAAGGTCAGCATTAAAGGATGAGCAGAGGTTTGACCCACACCTCCACTTTGCTTTGGAAAGCCCATTATTAAACCACTTGTAATGATTACTCCAACCCAGTTTTCGCATCTTTGGTTTAGAATGGCATGTCTTTCCAACAATTTAAGTGCCTGATATAAAGTCCAAAGTGTAAACATCCTCCTTTCCTCTCTTGCTGCTACTCTTGCTTTTGGAATTTACCATAAAGTCTTCAGAAACCTGTTGTATAACTGTAGACACCCTTCTCCCGTCTTTTTCAAGGGAAGAAATGTAGCCTTCAGTCTCTTCATCTGTCCTTTGAGAAAGTCCACAATGTGTTCACAATTGCTGCCTTTGGTTTTGTAGTAGAAAATGGTATCAGATGTGATGGAGCTCTCGGTCCACTGGCATTATTCGGCCTGCTAACAGCTTCACACATTATGGCTGTTTTCAAATCCACGGTGATGCTTACGGAAAGGCATGGCAGGTTAGTATTCCAAAGCAGACTGAGGTTAGTAGAACCCATGTTAGAGCAAAAATAATTGAATTCAGCACATTTTACTAGTGGTAGAGAGCAAGGAAAGGTTTTCTGGGTTAGAGGTTTTTTTCTTTTGGTGAATGTTTTGTTTAACCTCTGCAGTTTGTATAAATGAATGGTCATCCATTTATAAGGAGCCAGGGGTGGCCATTTAGTTCATTTGGTTAGAGCATGGTGCCAGTAGAAGTAGCCCGGGTCTGGAGGTGCCATTACTTTATCTGAGCTAAGTACTTTCCTCAGTAGGTTCAGCTATTTCTTGTTGCCAGTTGCTTCTACTAGCTAATGGCAGTATGCAGAAAAGTACTGCACAGATAGCCCATTCCTTCTCCTTGAGTTGTTGCATAGTTTGGTTGTTGAACTATCAATTTTTGAATTCTTTAGAAGCTTTGCTTTGCTCTTCTCTTTTAAGAAAGTATTTCTTGGCTGGGTGTAGTGGAGGACACCTGTAGTCCCAGCACTCAGGAGGCTAAGGCAAGATTTCTGTGAATTCAAGGCCAGCCTGAACTACAGAGTGAGACCCTGTCTTAAAAAAAAAAAAAATTTTTTTTCTCTGTTGGGGAATGCCCCTTGGGATGTATTTATCTATATGGAGCTTGTCAGCTGCCTCAGCCATTCATTCTAAAGTTCAACTCTGTGTTAGTTTCTAAAAATTGACATCATTGGAACTGGGGATATAGCTCAGTGGTAGTGTACTGACCCAGCAAGCGTGAGGCCCTGGATTCAGTTCTCAGCACCACACAAAAGAAAACAAAAGGCATCATTTACAGTTTCATAGAATTACTGTGAAGATCTTTTTAATTAAATGTTGGGACATGTGGGGCTCTAATTGCTCATCTGCAAAGACAGTAATTTAACCTGCATTTAAAACATTTGTAAACTTTTAATTTTAGCAGGTAAAATTTAATGAATTGTCCTAATTAGCTGTATTTCAGAATGATTTTTTTCTTCAGAATGATTTAGAATGAGATGCTACAAGAGATCCATGAAGTAAGACTCTTTCAGACTACCCTGGGTAACCTGTGTTGGAATTCTCAGAATCATGAAAGGTTGTATGTAACTAATACTCCAAAACAGGGAGCTGGCACTGGGAAAGCACATGTGGTGATCTCACATTTTCCTAAGGTTCTTCTTTTCTATGGTGTTGCTTTATTATCAAGTAAATTGAGAAAGCAGGTCTTGTACTTTAAAAGATAAGAACCACACCTGTTTCTTGCAAAGATAGCAGGTGCACTAGGATTCAAGAGTGACCCAGAAGTCCAACCTCAGACCTTGTTAGGACTGTGTTTGAATGCTGAGAAGATGCCCCTTGCCACTTCTTCATGCCAGCATTGGTTAGGGTGGTCTGAATCCTGTGCCAGTTACTGGTAGGTAGGGACCTTCTCACAAGTCCCACTATGTCTTTCCTTTCACAAAGCCATCCTTGACACCCTGACACACTGATGGTTACCATTTTACAGGTTAGAATTCATCATGTTCATGTCCTGCTGCTCCAACTCCAATGGACATAGGCTTATCAGTTCAGACCCTCACTGCATGTGAGTCCCCTGGGTCAGAGGAGTGAGAGAGTGGCCCCCAAGCTTGAAGGAAGCATTAAAGGGAGCAGCATGAATGGGAAAGAGCAAACCCATTACCATAGTGTTCCAGTTCCCTTTGCAGCTTGGAGAATCAGAGGTAACAGACTGAGTTTGACTGAGGCCTGAGGTATCCCCATTGTGCCAAGCGAGCCTGGCACTGACAGCTGAGCCTTGCAGGGAGGAATGCATGTTGGAAAGAGATTCCTTTGTTGTTTCATGTTTTCTTCTAAGGGTTGGAGCTTTATGCCCTCCTTCCTATCTTTGTTGTTGATTTTGGATGGCACAATGTTTCTGATAGGCTTAGGCTTAAGGTCCAACCTGTAGTGTTTTCCTTCCTTTTGGCCCTGTTTTTCTTACACTCTCTTGGCTGAATTTTCTGAAGGAAAGTTTTGTGTGTTCTTGTCCTCTTGGTTCATAGTCGTCATATAGAATTATATTGTATATAATTGCTATATAGTCTCAGAAACCGGAAGAGAGCTTTTCTTTGAGCAGCTTAGTGAGTGAATTCAGCAGCAAAGTGGGAAGTAGTCCACCAGCCAGGAGAGATGGTGTTTGTCCCAAGTGCCCAGATTCTGGGCAGGGCACAATGGACACAGCGTGTTGTGTTGTGTCACAGAGTACAATCTGCTTAGAAAAAGTGGAAGCATTTTGCATAGAGACAAAGGAAAGGGACCCACAAATGTCATCTTTTATCTTTTGTTTTCAATGGGCTGATGTTGGAATTTTTGTTTTTGACATGTATTTGTAAAATCAATCTTACCAAGATACAAGTTGTTTTGATTTTTCACTATTATTACCTCTTCTTCCTCCTGTCTTGACTGCTGATGTTCCTTAGTGATTGTAATGTCGATTTTATGGGAAGCAGCCTTTCCATGGGTTTCCTTTACACACTGGCAGGGCTATCTTTATACTTAAAAAAATAGTAAGATAACTGTCACTAACTTCATGGCGGATTTGCAGAAAATCATTTAGCCCACTGTGATTGAAGGGTAGAGCCTTCATTGTTTTTTAAAGCTTGTAATAAATGATACCTAATTCAGCATTATTGTGCTACCTCAAGGGTAAAAATGTTTTAAGGTTATTTTGGTCCTAAGTTCTACATACAGTGTTTGAAATGTCTTTCAATTGGAGTTATTTTTTAAGTCATTGGGGTGAATCTTGTTTTAACCTGTTTTAACTTGTATTTTAATCTCAGAAGAATGATTGGAAAGCAGTTTTTGTTTTATGGTATTGAACATATTTATAATTAAAAGTCATTAAGAATTAAATCATTATTTGCCATAAACAAAGTTGGAATTTTTAAAAAGGAAACTCTAGAGCTTGGCTTCACTCTCGGTTAATAAAGGCTGACAAATCATTAAAAAAACCCTGAACTATAGACTTTAGATGTGTAATCTCCATTTGTTCCAGGGCTTACAAAGTTTGGATAGGCATAAAGGAGTCCCAGTAGCAGAGGCTCCAGGTAGGCCAATATCGTGTGGATGAATGAAGCAGAGGTGAATCTCAGAACACCAGAGGTACCCAGGGAGTACTGAGTCCTTAAGGAGACCAGACTAGATGGTGACACTGGCAGCTGGAATTGGGAGAGAAATGACTGAAATCAGCTTTCACACTTCCTCCTGTTCACAAGTCCTATCCCCCCCCCCCCCCCCCGCTGCCTTTAAAGTGTCAAGAATGAAATTTCTTCCCTGGAAATTCAATAAGAATTTGGATTGAAGGCAGTTTGAAAAGGTTTTGACCTAGATTGTGATTGAAATAGTAATACTTGAGTTTGACTGTAGGTGTACTAAAGTAGGCCAATGCTTACCAACTTTTATTTTCCAGCTGTAAAACAGAAATAGGACTTGTAAAAGTGAAATGGATATTGATGCCAAAATAAAGATATGACATTTTTACTGATATCTGATTTGCTTTTCTTTTTTATTAGTACACGTTTACAGTACATTATTGTAGGGAGTTGATACATGTACCTAATAATCTTAATTCTTTTTATTTTTCTTTCCCCTTCTCTCCCTTCCCCTCCCTCCTCCATCTCTAGATCCCTTTCCATTTGCAAAAGATCAATCTTGCTAATTCCTACTATCTGTCTTTTGTTTTGCTTTTTAAATTACTTTTACTTTGGGTTTCTCATATGAGAAACGATGTGATATTTAAGGTTGTGTGTCTATTTATTTCACTTAACATTGTGGTCTTGATTTGGGCTTCTCTAATGAATACTTCTTATTGGTATTACCTTAGCAGAAAATAGAGCATCTTTTGAATCAGAGAGATCAGCAAAGGAAGAAAGGGATTATTTATGCATTGGCTTTATGCAGTGATTTGCAGTTTCTACACAATAAAATTATCTAAAGCTTTAAAAAAATTATAATTTCCCTACACCTCCTAATTGAGACTGAAACACTGAATATAAGCTCAGCATCCATATGCTTTAAAAACAACTCAGGTAATTGTAGTAAACAACCAGAGTTGTAACCCACAGGGCAGGTATCTGCATGGTCAATTTTTTGCCAGTTCTGTGGTTTCAGTCTTTAGCAGATTCACCAGTACATGCTTTACTCTTTTTTTTTTTTTTTCTTAGTTTTACTTAGAGTTATGGCCTAAGACCCTGCAAACCAACTAGGCTCTTTGTCTCAGGTGCCTTGCATGACAGCTTTTTTACAGAGGAGTGCTGGGGAAATAACCTGTATCAAAGCCAATTAGCTGCACTCTTTCCACTTTAATGAAGGAGATCAATTAAGAAGAGGGCTGCACTGGAAAATTCCTGGACCTGCAATACCAGCAGTCTTGGGAACTATGTGGTAGGCACAAAATTATTTTATTCATTCAATAAACCTGTACTGAGCATCAACTATGTGCTGGACACTGGAAATGAAATGATGAGTAGTGATACACAGCCAAACTTCAAAGAATTCTCAGTTTTTTGTCACCTCAGAAACCAATAATTTCTTAGCCACCTGGAGTTCAACATTTCTTAGCCTCAAATTTCAACCACTGTTTTCCAGACTTTGGAATTTCATATTGTTTTAAAAAGTAACAAGTAGATCATCTTATTACAAGGAATTGCCATTTAAATGAAACATTTAGCTTCATGAAAAACTACACACTTTTAAAATTTTTTTGCTGTTTCCCAATGTCATTAAAATCAGATTATTTTCTTCTTCCATCCTTCCTTCCCTTCCTTCCAGACTTTCTCCTTCCTTTTTGCCTTCTCTCTTTCTTTCTAATGAGCAATGTCTGCCCTATTCTCCAAATAAATATGCTATGACCAAATCACACTTCCAGCCAGAATGGAGGAACAACCAGATTTACCCCACCCCATACCCTTAAACAACTAATAAATGAAGAAAATATATGAAACAATGATTTTTCTACAAAATGAAGAATCGTGATTCCTGAAAGATGGGAGACAAATGAGGTAAGCCCTAGGTAAGCTTACTGTCTCAATAATCAAATCCATAGTGCAGGTGGGGCAACCCAGGTGGGTCTGGAAGACTTCCTGACTTGAGATGGAGTTAAAAGTTTGGAGTGAATAAGGTGGCTAGAATACAGGCAGGAATACTGAGGAAGAAAGATATATAGATAGAGTTCTGAAGATCTGCAGTTTCCCCTGAGTTTCAGCTGAGTAATGTTAAGCACATGCACATGAAACTACCTATAGCCAGAAACAGAATCACCCAGAGGAGTAGAGGTAAGCCTCACACAGGTTCAGAAGGATGGCTATACTCAGAAATCACACGGGAGACCTCACGAATTATGTATTTAAAAATGAACAGAGCATCGGTGACTTGTTGAGTGACTTCAAATGGATTTATGTATGTTTATAGTAGTCACTAAGAGTAGGAGAGCAGAAAAAATATTTGAAGAAATAATGCCCCAAATTTTCCAAGTTTGATAAAATTATAAATACATAAATCCAAGCATAAGAAACATAAAGCCATACCAAGACACATCAAAATCAAATTGTTCAAAAAAATGATAAAGGAAAAAAATCTTAAAAGCGGTAAGGATAAAACACATTATACTGAAACAAAAATTAAGGTAATAGATTCCATATGCCCAACAGATGCAGATGAGAAGACAATTTTCATTTACAATGATTTTTAAATCCTCAACAAATTATAAATTCAAGGAACTTCCTATACTGTATAAAGGGAATCAATGAAAAACCTCCATCTAACCTCATACCTAATTATGAAAGGCTAAATGTTTTTCCTATAAAATCAGGAACCCAAAAAGCAAGTCCATTCTCAGCACTTCAATTTAACACTGTATTGGATGCTCTAGTCAATGAACTAAGTCAAGAAAAAGGAGTAAGATATTCCAGATTGAAAAGGTAGACATCAACTTTTTTTTTCAGATGATATAGCCATTTATGTAGAAAATACAATGGAATCTATAAAAAAAGTTGAGTGAGTTTAGCAAGGTGGCAGAATATAAGATTGAATACAAATTACATTGTATTTTCATATAATAGCAACAAAATCATAAAGTGAAAAAAGACAACCATACTGTTTACAATAACATCAAGAAATATGAAACATTCATGGATAAATACGACAAAATATATCAAAGACCTATACACTGAAGACTAAAAAACATTGCTTAGAAAAATTGAAAACCTGAATTACAGAGATATATACTATGTCCGTGAACAGTAAGACTCAATATTGTTGTTATCTCATTCTTGTCCAAATTGTAGTATAGGTTCAACACAATTCCAATCAAAATTTCAGCAAGCATATTGATAGAAATGGGCAAATTAACTATGATATGTGGAATTGAGCAGGAATAGAATAACCAAAATATTTTGAGACAGAACAAAACTAGAGTACTAACATTACTTGATATCAAGGTTCACTGTAAAGCTACAAAAATCAAGACAGTGAGATATTGGTATCAATATAAATACATAGAATAATGAAATAAAGTGTCATGAAATAGAATAAACCAATAGACTGACTTAACAGAGATGCAAAGACAATTCATTGAGGGAAAGATTAGTGTCTTGGTCAGTTTGGTCTGCAATAGCGAATTACTATAGACTGGTAACAGATAAATCTATATGAAATTTATTTTTTACAGTTCTGGAGGTTGGAAGTCCAAGATGAGCATACCAACATCATCAGGTTTTCATTAATGCCCTCTTTTAGGTTGCAGACTGCCATCTTATTGTAACCAGAGATGGTAGAAAGAGGGCAAGAGAGTTGTCTGGGGTCCCTTTGACCCAATCTTCTTAAACCAATAAGAATATTCTTAAACTTGTACTTTTTTGACATCTGAGTCATATCTTCCAAATAGGCTCTTTCACCAAGAGGTGAAAGGTAAAATCCTTTTTGATTATTATCTTGTGGATAGAATGTTCTCTATTTCACCCTCACTCTTGTTCTTCCACTTCTCAATGGGAAGGAGGGGGAAGATGTGTTCACTATTGCTAATAAGTTCTTAAAGGAGTAAAATATGATTAAAAAAAAAAAAACCAAAGCCCATGGCTTCAAGGGAAGGTCTATTCCGAGATTCCTAGTCTTCTATAGCTCATAGTTTTACATTACTTTATGAGGATCACAGATATTAAGAAGAAAAATTCTAGGACAATGAAAAAAAATACTATGAACTAAAAGCCTACCTCTCGCTCTACAAGTGCATCTATAATGAGTTGTAACTTTTAATTAATGGAGTAAGTGATCTAAGTCTTATTCCTACTCTGATCTTAAATGACACAAGAACCTTTTAAGCTTCCTACACAACGTTTTATTGACAAAGCTTCTGGGGATTCTTACACATGCCTGGGGCTCTCAGCAGGAGCTACATGGGTCCAGGTAACTTATTGGACTCATCACTATGGAAGCATTATTGGATGAACCAGGGCTAAATTCTCCCAATAGATGAAATGGAAATTTTAAATGTTCCAGAAGCAACATCTTGAACAATACTTTGTACAGCTTGTTTGTATGACAAAACAATAAATCCATGAAAGCAAGAAATTTACATTGTTGATTCTAATGGAAAAAATACTTTGAAAAATATTTCAATCCTTTTTCCCCTTTATAAAACAAATGCGCCTGTCATACCTTAATGTTACCTGCCAAATTTTGATGAACAACTGCTTTTATTTAATGCTTTTTTATTACATACTTAGCATCTTTTTACTTTAATTAGTGCATGTTGAAGTACATAATAAGTACATTTATGGGAGTAGCACATGTACATAACACATCTTAATTCTTCTTTTGTTTTTTTATCCCTTACCCTTCCCCTCCCACCTCGCTCCTTCTAACTCTTGATCTCCTACCATTTGCAAAAGTTCCATTTTCATCATTTTTCCCTTCAATTCTTTTTTTCTTCCATCCCTCCTCCCTCCACCTCTTTCTTGTTCCCCCATCCCTTTGAAATAGAGCTCCCTAGACTTCCTCCAGATTTTATTTTCCTGGAAAAATAAGTACATTGTTGATCTTTGCCTCATTTTAATAAGATTAAGCCAAAATTAAAGATTTGCTGTCCATATTAGGAAAAATTCAATGAACTGGATTCAAAATAATAAACTAAGACTATAAGGCAGAGCATGAATTTCACATGCTTCAAATACCCACTGCTTGCTCTCTGCTTGGGCTGGAGCCAAGCCTTTTCTTCATTTTTCTCTGGCTACTGACCAGAACCAGGAAGTACACAGATACATGAAAATAAAGAAATTAATAATTGTTAGTGATAAAGTAAAAGGACTACACAAATGGGATTTTCATACCCTGAAAATATTTTTTATCAAATGAATTCTCATTTCATCTGAAAAGGTTTCTCAAACACTTTCTCAGTATCAAAAACCCACTCTTGAAAAGGAAATGTCAACAGACTCAATTATAAATAATCTCCTAACGTGAAGGATTTGGATTAATCATTGCTGTCATAA